AAAAGTTACAAAATAATGGTTTCCTCCCAAATACGATGTCTTTGAAGGACCCCGTACATCTGAGTGAATATAATCTACAATACCTTTTGTATTATGTATAGTGGTGCCAAACTTCACTCTCTTCTGCTTTCCCATAACACAATGCTCGCAAAAGTTCAATTTGCAAGCCTTTGCACCTTTCAACAATCCTTTATTTGCCAGAATTTGCAAGGATTTCTCTCCAGCATGTCCCAACCGCATATGCCACAACTGGGTTGCGTCCAAATCATCACCTCCGGAAGCTGCTGCAACTGCTCTAATAATTGTACTACATTGGTAGTAATACAAATTATTTTTCCTGATGCCCTTCATCATCACAAGTGCGCCATATGTGACTTTTAAAACTCCATCTCTCATAGTGACTACTGAGCCTTTGGATTCTAAGGCTCCCAACGAGATGAGATTTTTCTTCAAACTGGGCACGTATCGGACATCCGTCAGAACTCTGGTTGATCCATCTTGATTCTTCAATCGAATTGAACCTATCCCAACAGTTTTACAGGCATTGTCATTACCCATATAAACAACTCCTGCATTTAGTTCCATTAAATCGAAGAACCACTCCCGATTAGGGGACATATGATAGGTGCAACCCGAATCTAATATCCACTCATCGGAATGAAATGTTGTTGATGAAGCAACCAATGATATGTCAGAGTCATGTGCATCATGCTCTGCAACACATGCATATGGAGCAGCTTTTCCTTTTTTCTTCAGCTTCGGACAATCTTTCTTACAATGGTCTTTCTCATGACAAAAGGCACATTCATCTTTTCCCAGTCTGGACTTCGACTTTGATCTCCCTCTCCACTTTGGCTTTTGACTTTTCGAGCGACCTCTTGTAACCATGGCCTCTGCTGCTTCGTACTTGCTCTCCTTCATGGTTTTCTTCCTGAGTTCATAACTATACAAAGCAGCAGTTACATCTTTAAGGGTAACATTATCCTTACCATGAAGTAACGTTGTCTCAAGGTGCTCAAATTCATCTGGAAGAGATGACAACAACATCAAAGCTAAATCTTCATCTTTGAAGGTTTCATCTATGCCCAATAAGTCTTCCACTAGCTCATTGAACGCACTGATGTGTTCATTCATACTGGTGTCTGGTTGATAATCAAATCTGAACAATCTTTTCTTCATGTGGAGACAATTCTGAGAGCTTTTCTTCAGGAATTTTTCCTCCAAAGCTTTCCACATCTTACTTGCAGAAGTCTCGTTCTTGTAGCCATACTTCTGCTCCCTGGAAAGACAAGATCGAATCGTGCTGCACGCCAAACGATTGATTGTTACCCATTCTTTCTCCTCCATATATTCGGGCTTTTCTTCCTCAATGGCGATGTCTAGACCTTGTTGGAATAAAACGTCTAACACCTCGCCTTGCCACATGCCAAAATGACCGGATCCATCAAACAACTCCACCGAGAAATTTGCATTTGACATCACCCTCCTCACCGGTCCAGATGAAGAGCTTGATGTCTCAACAGATCAGTATTTTGGCATTTTAATTCTAACGAACAATATTCAATATCACGAACTGTATCTTTTCAGCAACGGAACCACCAGGATAACCTCAACCGAAGCTCTGATACCAATTGTTGGGGAAAACGGGTTATTTCCCACACGAACGTAGTTTTAAAATTGACCTAAAATGTCAAGATTAAAACCACCAAAGGTTGCACAGCAGATAAACCTGTCAAACTATTGAATATTGAAACACAATGGAAAAGAACCGAATAAAAAACAATAAAGGAGAGAACACACCAAATTTACGAGGTTCAACGAGAATATCGTCTACTCCTCGGGCACCACACCGGATGATAACTTCACTATATCGCCAATATTACAACAAATGGAATTCTTTAGAATTCCCAAAGTGGGAGAATGAAGAATACAAGAGGAAGAGAGAACTTGTTTTTGGGATGCTATCTAATGGAAATACTTAGGCCTATTTATAGTTGAGTTTCAAGAACAATATATTCAAAGTTTGGCCATCTACCAAAGAATTTTCCAATGTGTACAAGTTAGCCACCAAATATGAAATTCACATGTTCAAAGTTTGGCCACCAACCAAGATGAAATTTCCAATAAGTTGGCCACCAACCAAGATGAAATTTCCAACTTGTCAACTTAATTTCTAGACAAATCTAACAGTAGAGAATTCACGACAGTGACATTTTACAAAGGTAGTAATTTCCAGTAACACCCAAATTTGATTTAAACAAAACCAGATGGGTTTGAGCATTACACAGGACCATCGAAATGGCTAACAATTTTTTCTTAAAACATTTTATTTTCCAAAACATAATTCATCTCATTTAAACAAAATAAGATATTAGTAGTTAAGTTTACAAATCGGGGAGCTCCTAAAATAATTATCAAAATAAAGTAATCCAAAAGTAATGACATAAATACAAAAGGGTCTATGAGATACATGCCCACTAAAATAATCAAGGCATACTCTGAAATTGTTGACATCCGAAATCTTAACTGGCTAGCGATAAGCTCCCGAGTCCGACACCTACTAACCTGCGAACGGAAACAATTTTGAACGTTGACCTATGAGCTCAGTGCCACATAAACGACTCCACTATACTATATGCATTCATTAACTTCAAATAATTAGCAAGTTAAGTCATGTTGTAATGGGATGCACTAAGCATAGATCATAACATAAAGATATGTAACAATACATCATATGAATCATAATATGGGCTGGCCATTAATCTGGGAAGTGCCTTAGCACTAATACTAAAGTGCCTCAGCATTGATAAAAAAGTGCAATCGCACTAATACAAAAGTACAATAGCATTGGGGAAGAGAATATGGATATCTTTATTTACACATTTCAATAGTGCATGCATACGCTCAAGTAACCTAGATGTCCTTGTTGTTTCCTGAGTGTTAAACAAATGCTAGTTTTATGCCACACAATTTAGTGTTGCTGCTCATAAGGGTTTCGAATGATATTCTCACTTGTAGTCTTATTTAAGAAACCTCGATGCCTTCATAACCCCCTATTCAAGTTTACGAAGTTAGCAAACTTTTCTGCCCAAAACAAGACGTCAGTACCGATACTGGGCCTATCAGTATCGATACTGGGCCTATCAGTATCGATACTGACCTTAGGGTATCAATACTGCCCCGAGTATCAATACCAATTTTAACTTCGATGTTTCAATTTAATTCCCAGTATCGATACCTCGATAGAGAGTATCGATACTCTTCCCCTGGTATCGATACTCCCATGAGTATCAGTACCAAAATAACATTCTGGAATCCTCAAATTGTCACCAATATCGATACTACCCTCTGAGTATCGATACCTACCCCATGTAGGAGTATCGATACCACCTTCACAAATTGCTTTATTTTTATCCTATTCAAAAGGGAAGTGTTAGTATTGTTCTTTGAGTATCGATACCCCTACTCGAATATGCCTTGTTTAGGCATGAAAGTGACTTCTTAGAGTCCCTCATAAGCCCCTTAAGGCTACCCAACATTTGTTAAGTCTTATGGGGTTTATTAGATACACAATGAGTCATTTTATCACATCAAGAACAACCAAATAAGCATGCTACCATTAAAACCCATTAAGATCCATTTTGCACCTATGAGCACAATAAGCAAGCAAAACATAGATTTATGACCTATATGTTGTAGAGGGAAGTTATTTATGTGTTACCTCACTAATGGTTGATGGAAAGAGGCTTAAGAATCACCCAAGCACCAACTTATCCTTGTTCTTGGACTTTGGGCACTCTCCAAATTCTTTCACTAATCAAAGAAAACAAAGGGATTACATTCTCGTTTTTAAAGCTTTAAGTGTTTAAAATACTCGATGCAATTCCAGCTTTAAGTCTACACTCTTGTGTCATAGCCTGCAATTTTTTTAAAATGAACACTGAAAGTAATGGTCAATCACCCAAAGGAAATCGATAAAGAAATAGTCACAAGTCCGAACACAGACGGAGAACATTTGATTATGTTGTATTCATCACAGCTTTTTACAGACAACATTTTACTTCTAAAGAGAAATCAAGTTTGAACTTTAGAGATAAAGAGATAGTCATGAATCCGAACATCGGTTTCACGTTGTTGTGAACATCCTTGTCAGTGCCACAAACATGTAAATAAACAAAACCAGACAGAAACATTTTACATTGAAGCAATGGGAGGTAATTTTGGACAGAACCTGCATAGTGGGAACAAGAATGTTGGAGTCCGTAAATGAGTGCAGCAGATGAACTAGCCAGGGCTCCTTTGTCTCTTTCCTTTTGCACTGCCACTTGCTATACATGCTTATAACCATCCATCACATGAAATCATGATTAAAGAAACAAGTGGTTGCATCATTAAGACCTAACCTTTGCTGCTGCTGCAGTATTAATCACTGCTTCTACCACCAATCCCAACCTCCTCAACGTCTTCTCACATTGAACAAGGGCTTGAAATGCCATACCATTTCCATAAGCGACAGATCCAAAAATTTAAAAATGAGATTCAAAATTTTCATATAATTTTCTTTTTTTGCCAAATGGGTATGTAAATTTTTAACATATTGACCTAAATTTTATAATTAATCTAAAATAATGAGATGCACTTGGCCCATAGGGCTTAGTGGCCAAGTGCATCTATCCCTGGTTCCGAGTTGGGGTTAATATTTAAATTCGCTTCCAATTTTATATATCCGGGTATGTTGTATAGTTAACACAAATAAAGTAGGAGAAATTATATGATAAGCAGTTTGTGCAAAATTTAGACTTCACGACCATATCTATTTTAATCAAACTTCAAATTCTAAATATGAACATGAATGATAAACCCTAAATGAGAAATGATGTTAAAAAGGAATAAAGAAGGATGGATGTTACTTGAGGATGGCTGAGAACCGTTTTCAAATCTTGAAGCTTAACGCCATGGTTGGCAAGCAAGCAACGGGAAACAGGAAGCAGGTGCAGATCGTGGCGAAGCAACAGGTTGTACTTTCCATGGATGCTTCCTCCTATTGAATTCTCTATTGGTATAACTGCTCTATCTGCAATCCTCCTTTCAACAGCCTACTTTAACATCAAAAAGCATGTTATATCAATTTCACCAGGACAAAGATTAAAAGAAAAACATAAATACTTTAACTAGATATGGATTTCATCACTTGAAAAGTTGTATGGAAATGCTGGCAAGCAACTGTTTCACAGTTGGGAAATGCTTCCTCTGCAGCTAATTCACCATTTGCGCCACGAATTCCCTTTTCAAAAATGAAGAAACGTGTTTCAATTAATCAAAGAAATACTGTAAAACCAGTGAGTATATATACACACACCTGATATTCTACACGAAGGCCTGACTCGTAAGAAACTCTTGAGTCTGAAAATGTAGTTGAAGACGACAATTTGGGTGTTGTATGTTAACAAAAGGAAATTCAAAAAAATTATTATTGACACATTGTATAATTGTTTCATGTTTAAAGATGACAAAATAGTCCAAACTTGTCCAATTAAAACTAGGGTGGCAATCGGGTGGGGGAGAAATCCAAAACCTTGAGGATCCGAACCGACTGGATAAGGAAAAACCGAAATTTTCACCAAGGAGGATGGAAATAGGGGAAGTTTTATCCCGAATCTCAAATGGGGATGGGGATGGGGACGGGGATGGCTATACCGAACTGTATCCGTGTGAATAATCGTGGAGATCCCAAAAAATAACCTTAAGGATCATTGATATTTTACAAAAATAACTGTGGGGATCTCTGAAAAATATATGTGAGATTATGTGTTACCATTGTTACATCTTAAAGGAACTAAAATTGAAGTTTAGATCTTTTCTAATTTAATATACATTAATTTGTTGAGATTGAAAATGGTTAAGATTATACATATACATTAGATGTTAGATGAATATTGACATTTGAAACTTTCATATTATAGATAGAGACCAATTTGAGACAATCTGATTCGATTATATTAAGTTTTCTCTGTTTGGTACCAACACAAATTATTATTTTTTATTCAAGTACATGGATGGTAAGATGAGCAAGATTCGATTAATACCAGGTTAACCGATCAAACAGAAGTTTTAGTTCTCTTAAATTTTAGGTTTAATTACTCAATGACTACCTATTAGTTTTAAAATTAGATAAATTAAACTTTATTTCCCATTTTTAAATTTAAATATTTTTAGATCCCTTTGATTTTGATATTTCATAAAAATAAGGAATAATTTCATTAGTTTCATTTAAACATTTTTATTTTTTTCAATTTCAAAGTAAATTAAACCTTAATTTATGATTTTTGAAATTTTAACTTAATTATTATAGATTGATTTATTTTACTACTATTTATATTTACCTTAATCTACCATCCTGGGTCGTCCTGATTCCGTGCTTAGTGTCACAGACATAACGTCTCGACCCTGCTGTTATGTCATGCGACACTTGAATGGGACAACTCCCAGACAAGTCAGCCTTTCCCAACATAGATTCATGCTTTGAATTAACTCGTCATGAAGCCAAGTCACATTGACTAAGAATCATCCCTCAGTTTGTTAGTCGATCCCACAGTATTCTGTCCGAACAGAAAAGCCACACATTAGTCACACGCCATAATATAATCCCAAAGCCACAAGTACTCTTGGAAGGGAGATCCCGTGGGACATAGCGAATGCTAGGTGACAACCCCACTCCTCAACCAAGAGCATGATATGGGGCCCACTGGCCCCAAACCGTCCCTAGGTATCATCCTAGAGAGACATCGTACCATCCACTTGGTCCTGATGTTTACACACCTAGGTTCCTCATGAACCTAGGAGAAGATCAGTTACACCATGATAGCTCTACATGCTAGCTCAGGGTGAGGGGGATGGTGGAGACCCAACACTAGATCACTTCTCCCTAAAGAGCTAAAGAAATTTACCAGTTATGACACCAGTATGCGTTGGAATGTCTGAACTGAGGCCATTACCTTGACATGCCCTCCATCTTCATTTTTCAAGCTTTTTCATTGTTCACGATTGCATTAACTCGGTCCACCATCTAGTTATTGTCAGGGTTATCTCATGGAAATGAGATGTCCCTGGCACTTAGCACGTCAATTCAAACTCCATGCCCAAAAGAAACGTTGTTGAAGAAGATAAAAATCCTATTACACAAACACATAATGAAACCCTTAAAGTCATTTCAATAGAATAGGGGAAATTTCTCTTATATGTTCGACTTGCCTACCTACTATCAGCTCTACTTCACGCCTAACCTAAAACTAACCTCATATAATCCTATCTAGGGACGTGTATTAGATAGTATTCGGTCTAAATTTTTAGATATTCAAAAAATTGAATTACTAAAATTATGGTCTAAATTTGATTTGGAAAGTTCTGATCACTTTTTGAATATTCAAATATTTGAATTTGAATATAAAATTTAATTTGATAAAAATTTTAAGTTGAATTTTTATATTTTGTGACTTTATGTAACATCCTTATAAACTCTAATATATTGTCGAAATCATCTTTCGGGTGGGCCCAGAATTTGACTTCGACTTGAATAAAATATAAGAGTCGCCATCGATAATTTATTTTTCGTAAAAAATTTAGGTTGATCGGATACCATCTTACCTGATCTACGTTTTACCAGAAATATGTCAGATTTGGGAGTCAGTTACAGTAAAAAAGGGATTAGCACCCTTGAACTGCCCTTTCGGTACCGTTTAATTTGTCGATTGTCTTAATTGCGAAAATTGTAATTTAAATTTCAATTTAGATATTCAATTCAAATTACTTACCTTTGATTGGTTAAAATTATTCTAAAAATATATCATAAATAAAGTTAAAAAATAAAACAAACAAAAACAAAGAGTTAGTATTAAAATCGAAATAAAAAAGAGTATATGAAAGGAATGAAAGAAATTTTGAATTAAAATAATTGGAAAGGATTAAAATTCATGGATCAAATTAATTCTAGAAATGAGCTGCAAGAGAGAAACAGAAATTTAAGGGATTAAATAAAAACAGAAATTTAAAGTACCAAAATAATACAAACAAAAATTTAAAGGATAAAAATAGTATTAACAGAAACTAGAAGGACAGTAACTAAATTCAAATAAAAACATAGCAGTTTAATGACTAAATTAAAACTAAGTAAAATATAGAGTTCAAAATAAAAACAAATGCACATAATGATCATAATATTAAAACATGGCTAGACTAGGGGGACTTAGAGGTGATTTGACCCTAAATATAATGACTTAAATGTAACACATGGGAAAGAAAGGGATCTAAATAGGATTAAACTAAAATCAGTGACTAGAACTCAAAAAGCTATGAAATAAGGAGGAGTTAACGTATGATTTTCCCAAAATTAAAATAAAAGCAATTCTCTTTCCCTTTTTCTCTTCAATCTGCACGATACTCCCCTAATCCCTAACATTTTCTTCATTTTGCTTACCACCATTACAGCAGCTCTCCAAAGAACCATGGTCCGCGACGTATGGCCACCAAAAATGGATGGTCACTCTCCTCTCGTCCGAGCTAAACGGTGTCAGAAACACCACGAAATGCAAACATCATTCCCTGCAATGTTTCCCACATCCGGCGAGAATCCAGTACTGGACCACCATGCGCGGTGGTCCCTCGACCTCAACTCCACACCAACGACACTGCTACCCCGACGATTACTCCGACGGCAAGGTAATTTTCGAACCCCTATCTATTTATTTTCTTTAAGCAATCGTAAGATATGTATGAACACCAAGAACGAAATTATAATTTAAAATGTTAGCACATAAACAAAGCGTAAAACCTACTAGAAAACCTTGGAATTTTGTTTCCTTTGATTTTAGAATTGGATTGCTGAAAATATGTTTCAACTACTGTATTTTTATTGGAAAAAAAATCGAGAGAATCCCCTACTTCTTACATTTGATTCGGCTTTTTATAACTATTGTTTTTACATATCTAGTATAAAATATTAAGCACTTGTTGTGTGGTGATGTTTGAATATAATATCTCATGATTTATTCCTTGTGAGTGGCAGGAAACAGGGACTAGTGGCAGTGGGGCAGAGCACTATGCAACATCAAATGGTTCTGGGTTAGTTCGGTTGGTGGTCTGGACCCGGTTTGCTGTATTGGATATGCTCTTGAGTTGTTGTGTTGACTCCATTTGGGTCTTGGGTGAGATTGTTGGATGTATTGGGCTGTAAATGGGTCTTGTAAATTGGGCATGCAAACATATATGTAATATAGTTAATAATAATAATAATAATATTTTTTAAGCTCGGTAAAAACTAGTGCCTACAGATGCCCCTCTTTGCACATTCTTGTGTTAACAAGAATAGGGTAAAGATGAAAAAGACAATCAGTTTTTGTCCGGTCCTCTTTTTGTTTTGAGACTTGATAGTGTTTGATTTGGAGGACGATATTGCTCATACGTAATAAAGAGTTCGGATCGTCTAAGGATGATAACACGGTTCCTACGTGATGAGGACGACTGGTTATCTAAGGTTGACACGACTCCTACGTGATGAGGAGATCTGGTCGAGGGATGACACGGTTCCTACGTGATGAGGATGGAAGGCCATCATTAGGGATGATAACACGGCTCCTACGTGATGAGGAGATCTGGTCGAGGGATGACATAGTTCATACGTGATGAGGACGGTAGGCCATTATTAGGGATGATAACATGGTTTTTATGTGACGAGGATGGTAGGCCATCATTAGGGATGATGGTTTCAAGAGAAACTGACTCACAGATGATGCTTCAAGAGAAGTTGTTTCATAAGAGACAAAATTCGTTTCAAGGGAAACGATCTCAAATTTATTTGTTGTTTCATGAGAAACAATCTCAAAGAAAATATGATTTGTTTCAAGAGAAACGATCTCAAAGAAAATGAGATTTGTTTCAAGAGGAACATCTTAAAGTTTGGTTGTTGTTTCATGAGAAACAGTCTCAAGGAAACTAAAACTTGTTTCAAGGGAACAATCTCAAAGTTTTATGCTTAATAAGAAACTGTCTCGATTGAGACAAAATTTGTTTCAAGAGAAACGGTCTCAAGCGAGACAAAATATGTTTCAAGGGAAAATGTCTCAAAAGAGACAAAATATGTTTCAAGGGAAATAATCTCAATGTTTTTATGTTTCAAGAGAAACTGTCTCAAGAGAGACAAAATTTTTTTCAAGAGAAACAATCTCAAATGTATTATATTTCAAGTAAAACAACTTTGAAATTTGTGTTCCGAGGGAATTATCTCAAGCGGGATGAAATTTGTTTTGAGTAAAAACAATATCAAATGTTTGTATCTTAAGGAAGACTGTCTCAAGTGAGACAGTTTGTTTTAAGAAAAACAATCTCAAGTGAGATTAACTTCATTTTAAGTGAAACAAATTCAAAATTTTCATCTCAAAGGAGAATTGTCTCGAGCGAGATGCAATTTGTTTTGATAAAAATTGTCTCAAGCTAGACAAAATTTTGATTTTCAAGAAAAGCTATCTCTAGCGAGACGACACTTTGTTTCGATAAAAATAATCTCAGAGGCGATCGATAGTCTGCTCGTTCTTGCTGGTGGAGGAAATGTCTTCAGAAGATCTGATTGCTGACTTCAGGAGGTCAAATCCTTGTTTCTTCAAGTTAGAGATATTTGGTCATTTCCGAACATTGATTTCCTGAAAGATCAAAACGATGCATTTCTGACTGACTATCTTGGATGTTATGATGGATGCCAAGATGAAATTTATTTGTTGTTTTATTGAATTTGTCCTCAAGAGAGAGAAAATTAAGGTCTTTATTGCACATGATGATGAATGCAAAGATGCAAATTTCATGCGTCATGTATGTATGTGTTGATGTATATGTTGATATGTGAGGGGAATGGTTGTATGAGCAGACTTTATTCTATCCCTGACTCAGTTTGTCTTCATTTCCACCAGGGTGTACTCTTGCAAACCTCAACTTAAGACAATTTGTTTTCCTTACCCCATTAAATTTTGCCCAAAAATTGGCTTCATTTGCCCTAACTTCGATCTTGAGCTTCAAATAGATATTTGTTGAATTCTAAGATATGCTTCCAGAGAACTTATCTTGTTTGAAAATTCTTTTATTCCTTTGAATTTTCAAAATTTTGAAACATATCAAAAGGAATCTCAGAAAATATTGTCTCATTCTAGATTTCACAATTGAAGCAATTCATAAAACAGGAGTTCATTAGATATCAAAAGAATCAACTGCTCTTTTAATCTTTAATAGTTGCAAATCTTTGACAAATATCAAGATCGAAAAGTTGGTTTAGAGGTGGGCTATTTAAATTATAAGGTTTGCTTCATTGATTCGGTCATCGTGAAGATCATGGCATGCCCTTCTTTCTTGATTTGGCATTTTGATTGGAGGCGAACAAAATGACACAACTAGCATGATCAATGGCTAGACCTTTCAAAACACTTCTGTTTCATTTGTCTGAAATCTTACATTTTTTCAAGCTTCGTAGACTCGCCTAGTCAAGGTAGTGCAGAAATATCGGTCTAAAAATAATATTTTTGAGTGCTCATGTGAATTCAACTATAACAGGTGTTCCTCAACTCCCTTAGTCCATATTCACCGAAACTCCTTATTTAGTAAATTTGATTTAATTTGCCATTGTCTGGCTAGCTGAATCTTATTCATAAAGTCAGGGTGTTTAACCAATTACTCTAGAGGGATAACTCAAGCCTTATTGTATATATATTATAATCACCTTTATCAGTCTAGCTGAAGGATTCATATTGTCACAAAGTCTTTGACTTGACAATCACAGTGGAGCATACACCGAATTTCCAGGTACTCGATCAATGTGATGGTTTGAATATAATATATTCATAAAGCTAGGGTTTTCGAGTTTCCTCTATAACCAATTGCCTTAGTGAAATAGCTCAGCTTTATTGTATATATATTATTATTTTTTGTTGGGTAACCGGATTCTATTTCTTAAGCTCGCTGAGGAGAACCTATTATAGTCTAGGTGTTTATTGAAGGTCAGAAAATCTCATCGTTAGAGTTTAGTTCTTAAGCAATTGACCTAAACTAGATTCACCTACTTGACCATTCCATCTGAGAAGATCATGATCATCATTAAACGTCATTAACAGAAGTAGAAACCAATTAGCTTTGATATTTTAGGTACTAGATGCCCCATTTTATCCTCTCTTAATACATGTATGAATGCGAAACCCTTGATGGACTCTTCATGAGAATAGAAAACTAGCTTGGTCCCTGCAAGAGAATGGTATGTTGTCTGATGTATCTTTTAAATTAGGATCAAGGGGTCTTTTTTTGCAGGTTCAATCTTGTCATTTGTCAAATATTTACAACCTCAATTATTAAAAAGCTTTTAATTAAGGTGATATTCAAGGAATTCAGTATTAAAATTTGCTCATTTCCTCAGAAAGAAGCATTTTATTTAAAATGTTTGAACATCAAGTGACTTTTAAACATAAGAAGCACAAAAGAAAAACAATTTCAAACAAGATGACATGCATGAGAATACAACAAAACTTCGGATGGATGCCCCAATCAACTCTCGATCAGAATACCCTATTACACATTAAAAGTCAATGCCCCTGAATCGATCAGATTTTGGACCTTAAGCTTCAATGCCCCACAGTTCTCAGTGGTGTGCCCTGTGCTCCCAATATGATAGTTGCATATGGCGTAAATATCATGGCATTCAAGATATGGGGCCTCTCTAGGTTTGGATTGAACTGGAGTCACAAGATTCTTCTCAACTAGTGTTGGAAGCAACTCCTCATATGTCATTGGGATTGGATTGATGCGAGTCTTTTCTCGAAAGACATTTTGAGGTCTAATCCCTAGATTAGTTAGGTAAGATTCCCCTAGGTTAATCTCAACTCTTTCCTCAATAATTGTATTGACCCCACCTTCTTGGTGATTAGGCAAAGGATTCTGGGCAACATTCGGTGCCCTTGAGTTGTTGAATTGAATCAAATTCTTATTTCGTATTTTTTGCATAATCCTTTTGAATGCGAGACAATTTTCGATAGTGTACCCTGGGACACCACCATGATATTCGCAATGTGCATTCTCATTATACCACTTGGGGTAAGGGGGCTTCATTGGTTCCACAGGGTAAGGTGGCACTACATGAGTGTCAAAAAGTTATTGATAAAGTTCTTTGTAGGTCATGGGAATATGATCAAAATGTTCCATTTCCCTTTCCTTCCTAGGTTCTCCTGAATCTTGTCTAAAAGTACCTGATGGTACAATAATATTTGATTTTGGATTGGAGATCGTAACGCCTTTGTTGTTGTAGGTGTTGATGTTGTTCACCTCTCCATCCTTCTTCTGCATAGGAGGTTTCTTACTAACCTCCCCTCATTCAATCTTTCCTTTCTTTATGGTTATTTCTATCATTTCTCCGTCCATAACTAAGTTAGCAAAATTTCCAGATGTGATTGCAACCAGGTGCCAGAAGTAAGGAGCCTTCAGGGTCTGTACAAACAGCTTCCTAGTTTTCTTTGCACAACCAAATCTCTCAATCTCTGTGCATATTGTCGAAAACTCTCGTTATGCTTTTTCTCCAGGCTTTGTAGCATTACTCGGTCTGGTCTCATATCATTAGTATAGTTGTAATGCTCCAAGAAAGACTTGGCTAAGCCTTTTCATGTCTTGATATGAGTTTGGTTCAGCTGATTGTACCACCAGATAGTTGAACCGGACATACTTTCCTAGAAACAGTGGATTAAAAGTTGATCATTTCCCACATATCATGTCATTTTCTGATAGAACATAGTGATGTGGGTTGAGGGGCAACTATTCCCGTCAAATTTCTCGAACTTAGAGACTTTAAACTTTGGTGGAAGCACCAAATCCGGGATCAGGTTAAGCTCTAATGCATCTATTCCATAATAATCATTGTCCCCTTTAACCAACTTCATTTGGTCTTCCAGCATTTTAATTTTTTTCTCCATATTCTTTGCTTTGTCTTCTTCGTCCAAATATGGTATATGGTAATAACTCAGTTCTCAGGGTTAGATACATCAGTCTGTATCTTTGTAGTAGATGGGGTCTTCACTTTTACAGTGGATGAGTCCCCTTGAAGTTCTGGTAAGATTCAAGGTGAGACAACCACTTGTGGGGTAAGTGACATAGTTACCCCTTCCAATGAACCTGCCCCAGGTGCATTTGTCTGATGTAGGCCAACTAACTTTTCAAAAAACTGATCAAC